CTTACGTCTTTAGGTCATATCTTTTCACGCCATTAAACTTAGGGGGTAAATATTTTGGATAAAAACCCTAATGTCGGAAAGAGACCGTAAGTTGTTGCCAACATCAAGGAAACAAGATTGCCGTAGTAAGGTAATTGGTATTTTGACATTTGCAATGGAGAATTTGACAAATGCAAACAATAAATTTGTAATTTCATACGGATGAAGCCGCACGCGAACAGCTAGTATATAGTAAAGGATATAGCCTATGTTACCCACAGATAAATTACCTTTGTAATGGTAAAAGAACTTTTGAATTCGGCCCAGTAGTTCTTGAGTTATTTCAATACATAAAAAAATACAAATCTTTCCTTTTTATAACATTAGTATAGATTATATTTTTATCAAATATACTAGCAGTTTTCTTTATTTGCAGATAAATAGTGGTTTGAGAAACTAGTGAAAGTGTTTGTGAGAAGAAAACGGATGTTTGAACACTGAACGGGTTACCTTGAGATCAAGTTAATTTTATGTCTCCATCTTTACAAAAAATTTAAACATTCGCATTTACAATATTAGCAAAATTATTAAAAAATTATATTTAAATACTGCTGTAATCAAGAAATAATTATTGTTCATTATTATTTTAATCACGTAATGCTGATCTTAGAAAAAACTTCTACTACCCGTGACTTCCACGACCTCTGTAGAATTAAAAAAAAAACATGCTGTCACTGTTTTCTAAAAGAGAATGAGTGAGACGATATGACAGTTATAGTATAGTAAATATTTAGAAAAAATCGTTGAAAATTGATACCCACAACATTCTGTTTTACGCGATAAGTTTTAACGTGGGATTTATCCGGTCGTATTTGGCGGTTATGGAATAAAAATAATAACATTATAACGAAAAAATAAAATATTTGATAATGACCGAGTACGTAATCACATCACAACAATGTGATTTTCGATTTTTCGAATTTTTATATGTACATAATTTACCTGAGGTTCTTACGGTAAAGGAAAACATAGTGATGCAATCTGCACATATCGGCGAAGAAATTCAAAGACATGTGTGAAGTCAACCAACCCGCACTTGGCCAGCGTGGTTGACTGTGGCCTAGTCACCCCATATAAGGGTAGGTTCCGAGCCCCTCAATGGGCCGCGATACGGCCTCATAGCAGGCAGGTTTTCTCCTAACAATGATAGAAGCGTTGCTGGAATTTCTTCCTCCACTTCTTCTCCCAGCGCCAACGCTTTTCGAAGCGGTAGTAATAATAGATGTATTAATAATCAAAATAGTAATCAGATAGCAGCAACCGATCAAGTCGAGGTTCGGCCCTGTCGGG